CACACAGGGCCTCCGATCGTCAGGGGACTCCAATTTTATTAACTTATATGTATAGTGATCAGATATAAAAAGCTAAAATCCACCAAATTAATCCAAACATTAAGTAGCTCAGTTGGTAAAGCTTTTAACCGTTAACATAACTTAATTATAAATTAATAAAAAAAAAAGATAACTTCATCACATAAAGACTTCTTGTTTACAAGATAAATTACATATTTTTTTTCCTAATTGTTTATTTATGGGTAGATATCAAGTTGTTTTTTTTTTTAATTTTTATATTTCCCTTTAAATTTTGTCCCTATGTTTTTAGGTATTTTATTTTTATATATAATATTTATTATTTATTTTCTTTATTGTTGATAGGAATTCTTTTGTTAAAACCTTATGGAACCGATTAAAATCACATATCCATAAGGGTGCGTTTGATACGCAGACAGGACAGGACAGGACATAACATGACAGGACATGACAGAACAGGACAGCTGTTCAACATTTGGTAAGACATGACAGGACTGGACATAACTGGTTAAAATGACCAATTTACCCCCAGTGAGCTGTTTAGTGTTTTTTTCACTAAATAATCAATATAAATGTTAACAAATACGGTGTGCAAAGTATAACTTACATCAAATGACCGTAATCCCTAATTTTTTTACTTGGTTTTCTTTTGCGATCGTCACCATTAATTTGCAACACTTGTTCTTAGGTGCCGTTTATCAACCGTTTACTCGGGTAAGCGCTTAAAAAGTCACTTTACTTTACCGGTTGAATATGGCAAGGACTAAGAATCTTACCCGGTAAGAGCGAAAACAAGAATCGAGAGTCTTACCCAGTAAGTTAGAACGACCACTCTTATCATGGTTAGCGCTTACCGGGATTAAATTGTTGCATACGATGCATTTTAGTGAATAAAATCTTAATAGTGTTGAATTTTACCGGTAAGTGCTTACTGGGTAAGTGTTTAGGTAAACGGCCCCTTAGCCTCGTTCATTTTCAAGGTACAAATTTTAGGGTATTAAGCAGATATTATTGTTTTCCTTTTATTATATAATTTTTGTTTGATTGTTTAATGAGTTTGTAGCCAATCTTGATTATGAAAATATAATCAGATGATTTAGCTTCTAAAATGTTAGAAGATTTATGTTCCCGAAATATAATGATCAGTTTGATATATTCAAATATCAGTTTGAATATAATGATCAGTTTGAATATTTGTTAGTAATTATTTTATAGTTTCGCATATATTCAAATATATAAATACTTATTTTTTTAATTTAGTAACAAATTTTTTAATAAATAGCATAACTTAAAAAAATATAGGACCACATTCAAGTTTTTGCACAGGACCTCCAAAATGAGAGTTAGTACAATGTAAATATATCTCTTTCTAACTTTCAACGAACTGATTATTTAATTCTCATTGTTTGTCTTAATAAAAACATATCCAACAGTTATGCTATACACACACACTAGCTAGAATGGTACTCGTGCAATGCAATGAGATATATCTCGATTTCAATGTTTAGCTTTTAGTTTTTGTCTTTATCGATATAATATGATTTTATGGGGTTTTGAGAAATCAATAATGTTTTTATCTTTGAATGAAATATAAATTTGAACATATCATAAAATTTTGAAAAAATATATATATGAATATTAATATCAAATTAACTATTTAATAGTTTTCGGTTTTTTTGGTGTAATTTCTTTAATTCAATTTTTCTATTATAATTTAATTTAGATTTAATAATAAAGTAATTTATTTTTGGTTTAATAATATAATTTTTTATCAATATAATAATTAAGGATTATGTTAGAACTCAATGTTTTATTTTAATTATGTTTGAATTTTCTATATTTAAAATTTTATCTTGTATTTTATTATGTTTATCTGCAGTTAGTTATACGAATTTAAAAATAGAGCTTTAATAAGTTATATTTATGCAAAATTTATTTGTAATCTTGAATTTTAAGTAATATGCATCATTAAGTAGTATTTCATGTATAAAAAATAGTTTTTAAGAGTTCTTGTCAAATGCTTTATAATATAATATAGATTTCTCGTTTTTTTTTGTGTAACTTCTTTAATTCAATTTTTATTATAATTTAATTTAGGCCTAATAACAAAGTAATTTATTTTTGGTTTAATAATATAATTTTTTATAAAAATAATAATTAAACATCATGTTAGAAACTCAAGGATTTTCTTAATTATATTTTAGATGTTCTATATTTAAAATAGATGTTTATCCTGTATTTGATTATGTTTATCTGCAATTAGTTACACGAATATAAAAATGGAGCTTTAATAAGTTGTACTTGCGTAAAATCACTTGTAATCTTGAATTTCAAGTAATATGCATCAATAAACAGTACTTCATGCATAAAAAATGGTTTTTAAGAGTTTTTCTCAAATGCTTTATAATATAGTATAGATATAGATATATAATTTTTCTTTAAATTTAAAGATTTTTCTATTCTCTCATTTCTTTCTGTATTTTAAAGAAGAATTTAACATAGCTGTTGAAACAAACTTATCCAAAACTTTCAAAATTTATAAAATAACATAGTTGTTGAAGATGCTCTAATTACTTCATAACACAAAAATAAGAATACATTCCTAGGTAGTACATTAATGGTGAAGATGCAAAGTTTTTGATACAAATGGTTTAGAATTCTATAGGTATTAATTTATGAGCAAAATGCATTAAAATTTAACGAAGTTTGTCTTAACGTTAAATTATTCTTATTTCATACATGTTTTTACCTTTAAGCGTGTTTAATTATACCAAAGAGCTTTTGGTCCAATGGTATCTTATAACTCAACCTTCTAAAAATCAAAGGTTTCTAGCCTAACCTTTGTTGAGGTGTACGTGTGTGAATTCTATTTGTTGTATATAAATATTACATACTTTAAAAAGAAAAAAAATATATTTAATCCTTGGTAAAATTTAACACTATTATGTACTTACCGGGTAAGATTTTAGTTGACCAAAACGACATAGTATACAATCTGTGGTAAGAGTCGTCGCCCTCACTTACCGGGTAAGATTTTAGTTCACCAAAACGACATAGTATACAATAATTTACCCGGTAAGACTCTTGATCTTTGTCTCGCTCTTACCGGGTAAGATTTTTGGTCCTTACTCTATTCATCGAGTGAGGTAATGTTACTTGGTAAGCGTTTACCCGGGTAAGCATTTGGTAAACTGCCCCTAAGTGATAGTACAAGTTTTCAGCTTAAGTGACATCGGTTGATTTTGATGTAATACTTTTTTCCATATAATCAAGAATTGAATATATCTTGATAACTTGGTACTTATATCGTCCATAGTTACAAGATCTATCGGTCAAAATTAGGGGCAGGGATGGGGAGGGAATCCCAATACCTGTCCCCATCCCCGATCCCTCGTATGTGTCCCCGTCCCCGCCGGGGATTATGATCACATCCCCATCCCCGTCCCCAATGGGGAAACGGATATTTTTTTTAAAAAAAACAAAAGATTATAAAATATCACTATTTATTGAAATACACTAATATTAAAATAAGACTTAAACAAGACCAAAAAGTTTAAACTAATATTATCAAAGTTAACGTCAAACGTACTAAAACTACATCGAGTAATATTCGGAAGGACCAAAACATATCAAGTAAATTTCTATACTATCTACCATAAAAAAAAATAAAACAACCACTTGTTACTCGACATCCGCATCATATGTAACTGTTTCATCAAATGCTTGAGGCTCTGCATGTTTTTTATCTATAAAAAGTAAATCAAGTTAGAATAAATATATAATTACTTGTATGACTAAGAACTTAAATATTTTTTTTACCTTGAAGTTCTTTCCGTAACCAGCTTTGAGTGCACATTAAAGCTCCAACTGTTTGTGGGTGTAGTCAACTACGCTGTTTTGTGATTTTGTTACCGCTCATGTTAAAAGCGGATTCAGAAGCTACCATAGAAATTGGTATGGCTAAAACGTCTCTTGCAATTCTTTGGAGTATAGGAAACTTGGAGCCATTACATTTCCACCACATTAAGATATCAAAGCCGTCTTCATTAGGTGACAATTTTTCAGCCAAATAATCATCCAATTCACTTGTTTTCAAGACATCATCATCACACATCATAGACTCAAATTCCATCTTCCATGTAGGTTTGTAGGAAGTGAAATCATATACATCTAAGGAACTAGCGGTTGATTGTTCTTTTTGTGAAGGTTTGTCGGCATACTTATTCTTATACTCTTCAAACAACTCGACACATAGGTTACGTATCCTCATAACCTCACTTTTTGCCTCACCACCATAGATTTTCGAAAAGAAATAATTTATTAACTTCAACTTATATCTAGGATCTAACACAATTGCTACACTCATAACCTCGTGTATGACACTCCAATATTTGTTGAACTTGATCAACATTAATGATGCCATTTGCCTAATAACATCATGATCAGAATTTTTCCAACTCAACAAAGACATTTTAATTTCACAAATCAACGGGAAAAAGATGTTTGACGTAGGATATAATGTTCCCGAAAACTCTTCAGTCACACGATAAAATAACTTTAACTTTTCACAAACAATTGACACCATTGCCCATTCATCTTCACTAGGTAAGCAAATATAACTTCTCTCCTTTTTGCTCAAGCGACTAAAGACGTCCTTATACTCCAAAGCAACATTTAACATAAGATATACCGAATTCCACTTTGTCTTGCAATCAAGAACTAATTCCTTTTCACAATTTACACTTAATTGTCTTGCACATAGTTTAAATTCTTGTACTCTCTTAGGAGAGTTTGTCCAAAATGCAACACTATCCCTAACTGTTGGGTCACCTATTGATTTGGTGATGACCCACTGATCTGTTCCTCTACCTTAGCA